CCATAAAAGATTACTTGTCATAACTACAATACATCGTGGTCTAAAATTAATTTTATTTTTATATAATTCTCGTGCACCAATTAAATCGCCTGAAATAATATTTTTTAAATCTGATACATCACCTCTATAAGATTTTAGATCAGGAAATAATGCTACACTTGCATCAATTAAATCAATTCTAGAATGTTGATCTTTAAGATTTTTCATGGTCATAGATTTAACAGAATTTCCAACAAGAGCTTGAATAATATTTTCAAAAATAGATTTACCTGATCCTGCTGCTCCCCATAAGTACAATGCTAATTGATATTTAATATTTCTTGTTAAAATTAAATATAAAAAGTTTCGAATTACCCCTAATGTAATTCTATTACCACTAGATAAATGAGTTAAAAAATCAACCATATCTGTAGATAATTTAGCAGAAGAATTATAATCAACATTTAATTTATATGTTAAATTTAATTCTTTTTTAAATGGTAATAATTCTATTGTATTAATATCTAAAACACCATTATTAAATGGAATGATGTTTTTGTTGCCTGGAGCAGAATTCAACACCTGCACACATCATTAAAGAAGTATATACTTTTTTATGATAATCAGGTGTTAAATTATCAGCTGTTTCTTTTTTATGTTCTAAAACATTCCATACACTTTGTAATGCTTTATTACTTGAAATTCGTTTCCAAATACTATCTTCAAGAATAAACCAAGAATCTGTATTTAAGTCATATTTCATATTATTTAATTCATTATTACTTAGTTCTCTTGCTAATTTAGAAACATTAGGTAATTTATATCTTTTTACATTTTCTGTACTATAAAGTTTAACCCCGCAACTAAGAGAAGTTTCAGAAAGTTGTTGAAATTTAATAATATTGTACATTATAAATAATGATTAAAATCCTTTTTTTTTATTGTTACTTATATATTAAATTAAAAGTTTTTATATTTATTCTACATCTACATCATTTATTAATAGAAAAGAGAAGATATAGTTCAAATGGTAGAACATCAGTTTCCTAAACTGAATATATAGGTTCAAATCCTATTATCTTTTGTAATGTATGTATATGTATATTTAAACTCTAAACTTTTGATCTTTTAAACTTTATTTTTAAGCAACAGTTCCTTAAAATTTAACAATATAATTTAGAATTTTATAATTTATTTAATCTCTACATTTTTTATAACAAATCTCTATATGTAAAAATAATGTGACAGGTGGTTCAAAAAAAATAGAATATTAAAAATTGGATAAGTTAATTAATAATTTTAAAATAAAGGTTATAAATATAATTACAAGTTTAATAAATTTTGTATTATTTTTTAGTCTACATAATAATATTTATAGTCTATACTTACAAATTCCAATTATATTTTAATTCTTAAAATATAATTGAGAAAGGAATTTGTTATTTAGGATTATGCAACAGATAGTTCATTTTTAGTTCATAAGAATTACATTAAATTATAAATAGTAATATTCATGGTTATATTTTATAACTTCTCTTAATAATAAAGGTTTTTCTTTAAATAGAAGAAGTATAATAAACAATACGCCCTCGTTATAAATATCATAAAATTTTTATGTATTTATGGCGGTTGTTTATTTAGAATGTATATCTTAAAAAAATTAATTAAAAATTTATTAATGTTTATTAATTTAAAAATTTTATACTAATCTATTGATCTTTTTTTATTCATTAAATATTTCAAAATATTCAAAGTTTATACATTAAGTATACATATACATACATAAACTTAAAGGTTTTAATAGAGGAGGGGGGGGGGATTTATCTATTATTAATTAGTATAATTTTTAAATACTTCTTCTTTATTAAAATGAGGTCGTCTTTCAAGACCAAAAATAACTTCTTCTCGAATTTCTGGAATTAATTTAATATATGGAATAATCATACCTGAAGAAATTCTTTTTTTAAAGATTTCTGGGTAATCATGTTTATTCCATAATAAATTTAATTGTTGAATTAATGAATTACTAAAATCAAGAATATTTAATGGTGTAGCACCATTATTATAACAATATGATAAATAATTAGGATATAATGTTGTATTAATATCTGTATTTTTATTACCTACAAAAGTATGAGAATGATAATCATAAAAAACATGATTATTAATCCAATCTAATAATGGATTAACATCTTGATTTAAATCAGGAGAAGTCATATTGTTAAGCTCAATAGCAGAATTGTCAAAAAGATATAAATCTTCTTTTGGTGTTCCTAATGCCCAATTTACTAAACCTGGTAAATCTTTTACTAAATCACCAGATAAAGTATTATTTTCAATTTCTAATAAATTAATGTTTTTTTCTCTTGGCATTTTATTAATAGTAATATAAACAAATCTTCGTTGGATTCCATTAGTTGGATCTTTTGGTTGCCATAAAAGATTACTTGTCATAACTACAATACATCGTGGTCTAAAATTAATTTTAGACCACGATGTATTGTAGTTATGACAAGTAATCTTTTATGGCAACCAAAAGATCCAACTAATGGAATCCAACGAAGATTTGTTTATATTACTATTAATAAAATGCCAAGAGAAAAAAACATTAATTTATTAGAAATTGAAAATAATACTTTATCTGGTGATTTAGTAAAAGATTTACCAGGTTTAGTAAATTGGGCATTAGGAACACCAAAAGAAGATTTATATCTTTTTGACAATTCTGCTATTGAGCTTAACAATATGACTTCTCCTGATTTAAATCAAGATGTTAATCCATTATTAGATTGGATTAATAATCATGTTTTTTATGATTATCATTCTCATACTTTTGTAGGTAATAAAAATACAGATATTAATACAACATTATATCCTAATTATTTATCATATTGTTATAATAATGGTGCTACACCATTAAATATTCTTGATTTTAGTAATTCATTAATTCAACAATTAAATTTATTATGGAATAAACATGATTACCCAGAAATCTTTAAAAAAAGAATTTCTTCAGGTATGATTATTCCATATATTAAATTAATTCCAGAAATTCGAGAAGAAGTTATTTTTGGTCTTGAAAGACGACCTCATTTTAATAAAGAAGAAGTATTTAAAAATTATACTAATTAATAATAGATAAATCCCCCCCCCCTCCTCTATTAAAACCTTTAAGTTTATGTATGTATATGTATACTTAATGTATAAACTTTGAATATTTTGAAATATTTAATGAATAAAAAAAGATCAATAGATTAGTATAAAATTTTTAAATTAATAAACATTAATAAATTTTTAATTAATTTTTTTAAGATATACATTCTAAATAAACAACCGCCATAAATACATAAAAATTTTATGATATTTATAACGAGGGCGTATTGTTTATTATACTTCTTCTATTTAAAGAAAAACCTTTATTATTAAGAGAAGTTATAAAATATAACCATGAATATTACTATTTATAATTTAATGTAATTCTTATGAACTAAAAATGAACTATCTGTTGCATAATCCTAAATAACAAATTCCTTTCTCAATTATATTTTAAGAATTAAAATATAATTGGAATTTGTAAGTATAGACTATAAATATTATTATGTAGACTAAAAAATAATACAAAATTTATTAAACTTGTAATTATATTTATAACCTTTATTTTAAAATTATTAATTAACTTATCCAATTTTTAATATTCTATTTTTTTTGAACCACCTGTCACATTATTTTTACATATAGAGATTTGTTATAAAAAATGTAGAGATTAAATAAATTATAAAATTCTAAATTATATTGTTAAATTTTAAGGAACTGTTGCTTAAAAATAAAGTTTAAAAGATCAAAAGTTTAGAGTTTAAATATACATATACATACATTACAAAAGATAATAGGATTTGAACCTATATATTCAGTTTAGGAAACTGATGTTCTACCATTTGAACTATATCTTCTCTTTTCTATTAATAAATGATGTAGATGTAGAATAAATATAAAAACTTTTAATTTAATATATAAGTAACAATAAAAAAAAAGGATTTTAATCATTATTTATAATGTACAATATTATTAAATTTCAACAACTTTCTGAAACTTCTCTTAGTTGCGGGGTTAAACTTTATAGTACAGAAAATGTAAAAAGATATAAATTACCTAATGTTTCTAAATTAGCAAGAGAACTAAGTAATAATGAATTAAATAATATGAAATATGACTTAAATACAGATTCTTGGTTTATTCTTGAAGATAGTATTTGGAAACGAATTTCAAGTAATAAAGCATTACAAAGTGTATGGAATGTTTTAGAACATAAAAAAGAAACAGCTGATAATTTAACACCTGATTATCATAAAAAAGTATATACTTCTTTAATGATGTGTGCAGGTGTTGAATTCTGCTCCAGGCAACAAAAACATCATTCCATTTAATAATGGTGTTTTAGATATTAATACAATAGAATTATTACCATTTAAAAAAGAATTAAATTTAACATATAAATTAAATGTTGATTATAATTCTTCTGCTAAATTATCTACAGATATGGTTGATTTTTTAACTCATTTATCTAGTGGTAATAGAATTACATTAGGGGTAATTCGAAACTTTTTATATTTAATTTTAACAAGAAATATTAAATATCAATTAGCATTGTACTTATGGGGAGCAGCAGGATCAGGTAAATCTATTTTTGAAAATATTATTCAAGCTCTTGTTGGAAATTCTGTTAAATCTATGACCATGAAAAATCTTAAAGATCAACATTCTAGAATTGATTTAATTGATGCAAGTGTAGCATTATTTCCTGATCTAAAATCTTATAGAGGTGATGTATCAGATTTAAAAAATATTATTTCAGGCGATTTAATTGGTGCACGAGAATTATATAAAAATAAAATTAATTTTAGACCACGATGTATTGTAGTTATGACAAGTAATCTTTTATGG